CGTGGTAGTCCTTCTACTGTAGCATGAATTTACGTCTTCACTGTTTGAATTTGGATCATGAGAATTTAAAACAAACACATCCTGACTGACCCCCTTTTTACAACCCTGCTGCCAGAAGAAATGTTGGCATTGTATGTTTCTGCAAACTATGGATATATTACATTTGTACAATAATATGTTGCAGATACATTCAAACTTTACATTTCCTTACATTTCATCAATGCTGTGTTTAATGCAGGGTTAGGGTTAGGCATGAAAACCACTTTGTTTGGCTTAAAATACCTGGTTTTGGTGGCAAAAATACCTGGTTTTTGGGTGCGCAGCAAGGCCTTGGGAAAAAAAGAACCTCTTTTTGTGGCACTATTCTGGCAGCAAAAGAACAGCAATGTCTTGGTAAAAAATAACTGCTTTTTGTGGCATTATCCCCAGTGGAAATATAGCAACAGGTTGGTAAGAAACACACACAATTGGTGGCTAAACACAGCGATCACCTGGGTGTCTCACCATCTTCATCCCCTTAGTCTTCTGATGACAATATCAGCTCATACACTACATCACTTTATAAACGCTGGTATGAAATTTACAAATGTAACATTTTTGGGGTTTGCAGAAACATACAATGCCAACATTTTCTCCTGGCGACTGGCCCGCTCTTTTAGCATAAGACAACTGGGCGGATACAATTTCAGAGTTTAAAAAAACTCCCTATGTTGCAGAACCAATAGTAAATCTGCAGAAAGACAACTCTGCCAGCACTTGAAAGGTCTTAACATCAGACATCTTCTGACCACAGCACAGCATAAATTTTGTATTCATTTTATTTAATCATGTTATTTTACTTTATTTTTAGTTTTAACCTTTGTTTGGGTAGATAAATGCTCTTTGCAGGAACATATTGCTCCAAACTCACACATTTATATTTAACATATTACACTTGGAAGCTGCCCAGTGCAACCACAGTGTGATCTGATCGCCTCTGAGCAGTTGTACTGAATCACTTGTGTTTTAAGTGCTGTGCTCAAGGACTCCTCAGCAGTGGTCATAAGGGAGAGGCAGCCACCTCCCAACAACAAATTTATCCTGATGGTGCTGGAGTTGGGCCACAAACCGGCTTCTCTAATCTCAGCCCAGTATCCCTGGGAATTACGTCCATACTGGATGATTTAGGATTAAAAGGGGAACTACGCCCATTTTAAAACTTCATACATGTTATTCCTAAGGTCTTAAATAATCCAAAAAAATATATTGGACTCGATACTCTGTCTCACATCCAAAAAGTGAGAGAGTGCTAGAGTGCTAAAACTCAATTTTGTGATGTCATCAAGTATAAAGTCTGGGGCTGCTCCCTCGAGAATTAATTGGGAAAGATGTTATGGATGACATGAGAGCACTCGGTGAATGTTCTGAGTATATGGGGACATTTTCTCTTTTCAGAACTGAGAACACTACAATAGAATAAAGCTCATTTGTTTGAGCATAAAAGAGAAACCAAGAGAAAACCATCATGTCTATGGAGCAGTTCCAGACTTTATACCCTATGACAGCTGAGTTTTAGCACTCTAGTTTTTAGATTTGGGAGAGGGTAGCTCATGTTCAGAAATATTGATTGACCTTTGCTTAGTCATGGGAATAACGAATTGGAATTCTTAATTCAGGTAGTGATCCCCTTTAAATTTAAGAACTTAAAATGGATTTTGATATGGATTATTTTAAACTTAACATGAAACAGTTTTTGAAGAGTGAATGTAGACATGAGTAACCTTAGCCTGGAAATCCAGACTCTAATCTAGAAAGATTTTGAGTCTGGCCCTCACCGATACACCCTATCCAAGGGGCGGCACTAACTAAGGCATATTAAATGCCGCCACACGCAATTGGATAGCACGATAGCCAATCAGAGCAAAACACAAGGTGACGTATTCATTGCAGTAAGCCCCATTGGTTTGCCGACCAGTGGGGCTAACTGATATATTATGCTTTTGCCATATCCCATCAGCAAAATGGCAAAAACGTCCTTCCTGGAAAGAAGGCTTCTAGGGCAGTCTTCTGTTTCTCTCTCAAGGAAAAAGATAAGTGTAATTGGCTTAGCATTTCATCCAAAGCTAAATTGAATGGACGCGGTCCTTCGGCAGCTGCCATCTTGGCTGTTTACTTTTTGACTCCTATGGTGCAGTGCTGTCCTCATCATGTTACGCCCGCCTAGAGCCTGCCTCTGTCAGATAGACTGATCTCATTGGTCCGATTGGCGATTCAGCGGGCTCTGCTCGTCGGGGCTAGATTATGGTGCAGTGCAAATTCGAATTTGCTAGGGGCGGGGCATCTGGATTTCCAGGTTAGAATAATCTGGCTCCTGTTATTAAATGTTAGTCTAATTTATTATACTGTTGTTTGTGTTTTGTGCTGATTTGTATGTATTTTATTATTGAGTTTTGTTTATTTTCATGGCCCATTTTAGGAGGGGCATTGCAGATTAGTTTAGGCTATAAATGCTGGATTGGTTCATGCTTTGTAGTTTATGTCCAGTGCCAGTGAAGGAAACAGTGTAACCTTCAGGTAGCAGGGCAGAAAGTATGGGTGTGTTACAAAGTTTTTTAGTTGGCTAAGCCTAACCATACCTTAACAACAGTTTATTTGCTGTCACCACTATCTTTCCTCAACCTTACTGTTGCCACCAGAGCAGTAAATGTAAAATGCTGTTGCCTTTGGATATAATAAGGAGTTCTGCAGAACTTATACAATATTGATGCTCTTTCATGGATTGCTAGTCTTTGTTTATCAGTCCCAAATATGTAACTGAGGTGAAAGATTGCAGGCAACAAATTACACAGCAGGTCAAACCCCCGACTTGAAGGGATAATTAGTTATGTACTGCACATTGAACAGGAAGTTCAGCAAATAATTCATTGCCAACCTGCTCATTACGTAGTTGCCAAGTCTCTGATGTCAACATATTGCTTTGCAAACTAATATTAAAGGCAACAAATAGAATTTAATTGGCCTCATGCTGGCTGTGGATGAGCTGATTGGGCTCAGGCAGCCACAAAACAGCAGCCCACTCAGTAGCCTATTGACTAGGAGTAGCAGTTTGCCATACTTTGGGCTTTGAGCGCTGGCTGTTCACTTAATATCTATGATGTCCATCACAAAACCAACAGGGGTCCTCTGCAGTTCAGTGACTATCACAACTATGCAATCATAACTGTGGCACACCTGCAGCTACGTAATGTCCTCCACATGATTGGATTTCTCAACAGCTGTTTGTGTGAGACTCATGTTTAGCCTCTGGACTACAATGCTGTATTTTCAAGAGACATCTGAATTTCCTGCAAATGTGTGCAAGCATTTAGCGTGTAGTGCTAAAAAATGATAGCAAATGTAGAAGTTTACCACATTCAACAGTCACTCAGTCCTGTCCTGTGAATTCAAATAATGGACTAGCTAGAGAGCTAAATCTTCAATGGCACCATGATCATTGTGTTTGATGGATGGCACCTTTACCTTTCAGATTCAGATTTAATTTTGGAAGCTAAAGTGTCGGTCAAGAGGAGGGAGGGACACATTTATCCCGGGCATGAGGCCAAATGCTTAGAGCCTTTGGCAGTGGGGACAGTTGCTGATAATGCTGGTGATGTTTTGCAAACTGACTCTCAAACGCACATCTGATCGTCTGAGTGCTTCACTGCTGCTATCGCTGGTCAGGCTGGGAGACCTGCAGGGTTGATCATGTCTTTGTAGAGTTGACTGTAAAAAGGACACTACATATCAAAATCCATTTCTTTGTCATTGTGAGCACTATCCAGCCTGTGCAAACAGTTGTATAATGTCTTCTGCAGCTCTGGAGGAGCTTTGTCAAGTCTGAGAAAATAACCGTGATGATGCCATTAGGGTTATCTCAGCTTGGCGATGGAAACAGCATATTTATAACTGCATTACAAAGGAGGAGGAGTGGGATTTTCAAAGATATGGGCATTTACCAGGAAGGGGCGGTCTGATTCTGTGTTTGCATTACATGGGATGAATGGCAGTGACTGGAAAAATCGAAGACTTTCGAGCTTTCACATCATTGGACAGCTGAAGATGGTTGTATGATTGCAGACTTGGGTCTGTTAGAGTTATAAAGTGTGAAGGCAATATCACACTATCTTCGTTGAATTAAGGTTTAATTATCCTGAATGACAGACTAGGCTGACATAAGACAGCCATGTTTGTTGAGTTTTCAGAGTTTGCTTTATTAAAGGTCCAGTGTCGGATTCTGGGGGATATATTGGCTGAAATGGAATATAATATCAAAAGTATGTTTTCTTTAGTGTAAAAAAAGAATTGTGTTTTCATTGCCTTAAAATGAGCCGGTTATAGCTACATAGGGAGCAGCTCCTCGTCTGTGGAAATCCCCATGTTGCATCACTATGTTTCTACAGTGTACTGGTGTGGAGGATATTTTCTTGGCACACTTTGGGCCCCTTAGTACCAACTGAGCATGGTTTAAACACCACAGCCTACCTGAGTATTGTTGCTGACCATGTCCATCCGTGTCCATATGACCACAGTGTACCCATCTTCTGATGGCTACTTCCAGCAGGATAACGCACCATGTCACAAAGCGCAAATCATCTCAAACTGGTTTCTTGAACATGACAATGAGTTCACTGTACTCCAATGGCCTCCACAGTCACCAGATCTCAGTCCAATAGAGCACCTTTGGGATGTGGTGGACCAGGAGATTCGCGTCATGAATTGTTGGTGAATCTATGCCACAGACAATTAAGGCAAATGACTGAGATTAATCGACTAAAATGGTCTAACTGTAGTCCTGTATGTACACTACAGTATATGTTTAGAATAACAAAATAGTGTGATAAAACATCTGACACCCACATAGTAAACACACACACAAAAACTTCTTCTTTAAAATCATCTTTTAGCTACAGTGAGCTATTTTTGTCCTCAGAAGATTTTTTTTTTTCTCACAGGAAAAGATGGAGGCAGCATGGCAACAGTCTCAGGGACACGCTCCATGACAAGCGTGTGTGTGTGTGTGTGTGTGTGTGTGTGTGTGTGTGCGCGCGGCGCGACACAATGAGATAAAAAGATGACTTCCATTCTTTGTATCTTCTCGCACACACACACACTTGCCCGTGCACGATTAGGCTTACAACACACGCGCGCGCGCACATCCATGCGCACGCGCAAACGCACCTACTCTGGCGTCCTCGTTCCATCTTCATCCATCTCTCCCTCCCTCTCTCCTCTTGCTCTCTACGGGGGATAGATGGGAGGAGACGCTCCTGCTTCAGTGTGTTTTCCCTGCAGCGGGGTTTACGGTAACGGAGACGGAGAAGAAGAAAAAGGGCACCGCTCCTCTCGGTCACGGATCCGTTCCTCCGGTGTGATTTTCATAACCGCACACTGACCTTTCTCTTTCCCGGTGTGCCCGCATCTTGGCTTTCTTTTTTTTATCTACATGGAGGCGGAGCGAGGCATCTTGTAACGAAACCTACCGAGGAGATCTGACTGAAAACGGTGTATGTGTGTTTGTGTGTGTGTGTGTGTGTGTGTGTGTGTGTAACCGACTTGGATTTAAACCTTAACCGAATGATCCTACAATGAGACACACTGCCCGGGTTGGTTTGCTCATCTCCTCCGTTTTCTGGCCCCGCGGGTACTAAAGATGCGGCTGGTCGTGCGGGTACCTGTCCTGGTTTCACACCGGCTCGGTTTGTCCCGGTAGACTGATCCTGTCCGGTCCTGCGGTGTCCACAGGGGCCACCACTCATTCTTTTTTTTTTCCCCCCAACCGGATCCGCCACCAGCAGCCTGCCAGATGGATAACTACTCTACTTTACAACGTAAGGCAACGCGAATGGACACATACCTGCTGCAGTGTTTGTCATTCAGTGTGTGTTAATGATCTCTTAATGAAGAATCTCATTACTACTGTTATGTAAGGACTCAAAACCGCTCAAAATGCCTTTTTAATATCCAAAATATCTATAGATGTGCTGTCACACACTTAAAAATGATATTCTACTGTTAATGCATGCATCTCATGATTTTCCCATGACCATAAATGTTTAATTAGGCTGCTATCATGCGACAAATAATGGCATTATTTAATATTTACAACAACACCTGGCACTGTGTACTGTATGTGATCATTTAGGGGTTTTTTTTGTTTTTTATTTAAAATGGTCCCTTCATCTTTTTATAGACCCTCATCCACGGGCCTCTCATGCTCTGTGATGAGCTAATGAAACAGCCATGACTGCAGGAAGAGAGAGAGGAGAGTGTGTGTGTGTGTGTGTAGTGTGTGTGTGTGTGTGTGTGTGAGTGAGAGAGAGGCTGATATATGATGCTGTGTCATACACACTCCTGTATTGACATGTAGCCCCCAGACGCATTGCCATGATAGCTTCATGCTTTCATATAAGACATTATCTCACACACACACACACACACACACACACACACCTGTTAAATCCAGCAGCCTGAGGTATTGTAGCTTATTAGCCTATCTCTCCCATTATTTAGCTGTATCAGTCACGCCTGTAATGACAAAGGCTTGTTAACCATCCAGCTAAATGCTTTACTGCTGCTGTTACACACCTGCACAAGGTTAAACTGTTTTATTGTCCGGATCATAATTTTTGCAGTTATGTGCTGTAATTTTTTTTGTCCAGTCTTATCGCTAAGCAGCACACATACTGAGTGTCTTTCTGAGTTGCAGCCAGGGCACTAAAGCAACATGCAAAAAAAGTGGGTCTTCGTATAATCAAAGGGAATATTTAATTACATCTTCAATGCAACAGATTTCAAAGCCTCTCTGTCTGTGTTGCCTCTAAGATGGGTTCTATTAATACATTTTCTTTACAGCAGGGGTTTGCAGTCACTGCTAATTGCCTTGTTTTGTATCATTTTACCAACAGGCCTTTGTGTGTTGTCAGTTTTGGTCTCTCTTTTGGTATCAAGGAGCACAGCAGTCCAGGTTATGGTCTGTGTGGACTACATGCAGTACTTGGACATGTAGCGTAATCTTGGTTTCCAGGATGTTTGCAGTTCCATCTCTTTCTTTGTGTGTCCTTGACTTTTCATTGGCTTACAGAGCTACCTTGACTTTCCACTGGCTTACAGAGCTACTTTTTGGGGACTTTAAAGTGTTGTGCTTTCCACCAACATTTAAAAAAAAGCATATATTTGGCTGGTAGAAATATGTTGAACTCACCTGGTAGAGTGGGCGTCCCACTTACAAAGGCTGTGTCCTTGCTGCAGAGGCTGTGGGTTAGATTTGGACCTGCGGCCTTTTGCTGCAAGTTGTCCCCTCACTTTCTCTCTTTCACACTTGGCCTGTCCTATCTAGTTAAGGCACAAAAAAGCCATAAAAATAATTTAAAAAAAGACATGTTGCAGCGGCAATGTAACCAACTACACAAGCACTCTACAGCACATTTTAATCTATTACATTTATCGGACACCTGTGGTTAAAACATTCTTCTTCTCATGTAGTTTTAGTCTGAACTTCACTAAAGCTTTATTTTTTTATATGTTGGTGTAGGAATATTTCAACTGTCCTCAGCAAGAATCAACTTGTTTCAAGAATTTTCAAAACTTTTTCATAATTCAAGTGCCTGGGTGGACCCTAATTCTTTCTAGTTTCAAGATACACATTCTCATGCCTTTAACATATTTTAAATAGGTTGATTTAATTTTAATATTGGTTAAAATACTCCTGCTGTACTGCAAAATAAGGGTTTTGAGGACAGAAATCTCTTTTTAAAACTGAGGTTTTTGCAGATTGAACAGCTCAACACTTTATAGTGTAGTAAATAAACTCCACCTGGACCAACTACAACAAAAATGCTGCTTACACATAAATGCATCAGAAATCCTTTATAAACATATAAATATAACAGATACAATTCTCTATATAGCACCATTTGGCATATCAGATTTTTTTATTTTAAGCACATCACATTTTGCTGATAATACATAGATATTTTTACATAAAGTTTGAATGCAGGACTTGTACTTGTAATGGCGTACCTTTACACTGAGGTGTTACTACTTTTACTGAAGCATCTGAATATGTCTTCCTCCTGTGCCTGACAGTGGTTCCTGGTATTTGTGGTCTCTTTGGGAAGCTGTTCCGCCAGCTGTTAGCAGCAGTCACACTAGTCTATTAATCGGTCAACAGAAAATTAATCAGCAACTATTTTGACGTAAAGTAATTTTTCAAGCAAAAATGCTAACCATTCATTCTCTAGTTCCAGTTTCTCAAATGTGAGGATTTATGGGACAGAAGAAGGGTTTGAAGACACGTTGGGCTTTGGGTAACCTTGAGTGTGATTTTTCAGTATTTTATGACATTTTATAGACCAAACAAATGATTGATTAACCAAGGAAATAATGGACAGCTTAACTGAAATAATCAGAATAATGCTGCCCTAATAGAGGATTTCACTATTATGTATTGTTGTACTGGTTATTGCTTCTTTTTTTGGAAGCATAGAGGTTAAAGAGAAGCAGTGTCCATATTTTGAGACAGAAATGATGTTGTAAATAGTAATAATGGCTGTATGTATATATTTTATTACACAGCTGCATCTGATACACGCAATCCTGTCATTATCTGTTTTCCATTTAACAACATACTTTTCCCATTTTAGTCTAACTCCAGATATAGTCACTAAGTTAGTCCTTTTATGTCAGTCTAAATTGCATTCAGCACCTCTACAGTTCAGGCTGCGGATCCAAGACATGATAAACGCATTAACATTTCCTCTTCAAAGAGCAAACTTGCATGCAGCTAGAGGAGGGAGGGAGGTTGGCTCCGGCTCTCTCTGCTGCTCCACTATAGCTTTGACAGGACACTGCTGTTCCTGCTGCTGCTGCTGATGCTGCTGGTTGCCTAGTGACTGTATCCATGGAACCGGCTCCCATCGCCATGGTGATGGGCCAAGGGAAAGAGACCCAGTGAGGGAAGGGGGACAGAGATACCAGTACATCTGCAGTGTATGTGTGTGTGTTATGATGATGAGGATGAATTGTGATGTTATCGAGGGCGATGGTGATTTTGGTGGCTGTGATTGTGATGAATCGATGTTGTCAGCTGCGTTGATGACACTGTTGACTCTTAAGAAGGTGATGAAGAGTCTAGTTGAATTAACTGAGTCTTTATCAGCTACTTGATGGATAAAAAATGACCAAATATGCTCTTTCTGGAAGAGCTTTAGAGATTTGAAGAGGGTGATAGGCAGTGTAGGATACTGTCACAAAACGTTGGCTATTTGGATGGACAGGATGGAGAAGTATATGCTGCAGGATAGAGCTGCATCAATTAGCTATGAACAGAGAAGATTAATCTGCAATTAGTTTGATAATCTAGTAATCATTTAAGTAATTTCTTCAGCAAAAATATCAAAAATAATGTTGTTCCAGCTTTTCAAATATTAAGATTTTCCACTTCTTCTGTTTTATATCACCGTAAACTAAATATATTTGGGTTTTTAAGCAGTGGCAGGACAAAATAAGATATTTCAAGGCATCCACATGAGAAGTTTTGGTGGGCATTTTTCACTATATCGACTTTTTTTGGCCCAACAATGAATCATAGATTAATAGAATGTGTAGATTGATCAATAGTCAGTAAAAAAAAAAACTTCTATCATTACTCCTCCATCCTGTAACTTGAGTTCAAACTGACCAAAGCTGCAAACGTTTTACAGTCACCTTTCAAGCCGACTGGGAGTGAATGTTTGTCCGATTTTGGATTATGGAGTGTGACTTGAAGCAATGCGCTGTGTTGAAGCAGAAACTACACACTTATAATGTCATGCAATGTTGCTGCATTTTCTTAAAACCACCAAATCCATGTTAGGAAGCCTTTGCAGGATTTTAGAGAAGCCGAGAGGAGAAGAGAGAAAGAGGAGAGGAGAGGGAGGGAGGAGGAAGAGAAAGAAACATTATCCTCTTGGTCACGGCACATACTGTACTGTAGGTTCACACAGGCTGCATGAAAGTGTTCCAAACTGGTCTCTCACAGGATAAATTTATCTCATCCGTTTTGTTCATTTAGCTGGTTTAATGTGATTTTTTTTTTCTCTTCTCTACGAGTACAGATTCATGTGGGAGCATCCGTTCTGTCCCCTCTCCAGTCTCAGTGACAGTGTTGCCATGGTTGCATCATGCACATTGTTCTCTCCAGGGTGACATAATTCTTTGGCTCAAATAAGAGATTCTGTTCCAGTACAGTCTAACGGCAAAGCGGATCTGGGTGTGAAATATTTTACTTCATCTAATGCTAACAGCTATTTTGGGTCTGGAGGCTCATTCTTTAGTATGTCATGTATTTCTTTAAGTAAAATTAGTCATATTTTGCTGCCATGAATTAGTCATAGTTCTGATTTGTGAGCTTTTGTGGGAAGGGAACAACTTGTCCAGGCACAAAAACGAATGGATGACGTGAGAGATTTGACAAGAATTAGCACTGACACAAGTATATAGAAAATAAATTACAGAATTCGTTTTTAAAGACATCTCTCATGTGTCTATTAGCAGTTAATCATTAGGGAATAAAATGCCAGCTACTTTGATAATAGCTTTAGTAATTTATTGTGCAAAAATATCAAATATTGTCTGGTTTCTGTGGCTCATCACAATTGTGAAGATTTGCTACTTTTCGATGTTTTATCATTTCATCATCCATCCATCCATTTTCGTAACCGCTTATCCTCTTGGAGCATGGGGTGGGTGGGTTGGGGGGATTAGGAGAGAGGCGGGGTACACCTTGGACAGGTCGCCAGACTATCACAGGGCTAACACATAGAGACAGACAACCATTCATGCTCATATT